ACGAAGATGGATGTCTCCAATGCTTACTTCCACATCCCAATTGCACATCAGTCTTGACCTTACCTTCGGTTTGTCCATCTTGGGGTGATTTACCAATTTTGGGCCCTCCCCTTCAGATTTACCTTGGCTCCTTATGTATTTTGCTGCATAGTCCAGGCTTTTTCACATCATCTCCATGTTCTGGGAATGCAATTTCATTATTACATGGATGACTGACTCATTCCGATCAGAAATTGGCCACTCATACTCAACAACTTTTTTCTGTGGTGGCTCGAGTGGGTTAGATAATCAAATTAGAGAATTCATTCCTTCAACCCACTCAATATCTAGTCCATTTGGGGGTCTTTTTCGACAAAATTACCAGTTGTACTCTACCTTCTTCTTTACATCATCATTCAGCTAGTAAGTTTTATTAAATTTTTTTCAGGGCCTTTATTTCCCATTTTATCACATGGATCCTGCTCTGTGGCGAGTGGTGCCTGACCAGGTATTCTTTAACTCTAAATATGCACTGTACAGCCATATTGACTTGTGCTTTATTTTCCATGGCTTCAAATGCTCACCATGGAGATGGAGATTGTTTGAAGGTGACTCACCTTGTGATATTTTGCTTCATAAACATGCCTATCCCAGACCGTACCACCCATGAACTGCATGGGTAAAGCAGAAGAGGATTGCCGCCCATCCCTAGAGTGAATAACTCAGTATGGTCTGCTTTTCAAAATAAGGTTTTGTGGTTACCCATTGCACAGTCTCCAGTGATGATGTTCCTCCGGACTCTCCACCACATTGTCTACCTCCTTTTTTCAAGTGGAGTATGGGACTCCCTTACACTTTCTAGGTTCAAGCCACTGGGGTGATTGACCATAGCAGTACCCTCCTGAATGAGTTCCACAAAGAAATGGCTGGAACCATTCAGTCAAGAGTAGGGTGATGGTGTACTGCTGGTGTAGATGAGACATGGCCTCCAGAGGAGTTGAGCCATCATCTTACTGGATAATGTGGTCTCCTGATACCATTTACATAACCACTGGAGTTGAGCCATCAAAACTGCAGCTCATTCCTTCGATTGGGAGACCTCTTGTGGATGTTGGTACCCCATGAAGAGGTTTTGGATTAAAGTGACCAATTACTCCACCTGTGTTGTGGGTCACAACAGTGGTACGTAGGATTGTTATAGTTCTATCCTTGACTATCCCTCGTTCTTTTCTTATGGGGATGCTATTGCTTTGGATGGTGCTGCCCTGTGCTACGGTTGAGAGAGTTGACTCTATGCGATAGACATCCTTGTGTGGATGTCAGTACCCCTCGAGGAGGTTTTGGATGTAGTTGACTCACTGAGTATGGTCTGCCATGCTCTAGCCACTCTATAACTCTCAATTTCTTACACATTCCACATTGGGCGAATAGTATACCTGGCTTAGAAGTGGTGCAGTTCCCCTCTTCTGATCTTCGGATCTATATCTCTCATTGTAAGAGGTATCCTTTGGACACTTTCGAAGGCACTTCTTTCATTCCCTCACACTGGTCCCTCCTCCTTCTCAATGTGGGATTCTAGCTAATATTGTGAGAGGAAAGTAAGTACCGTATGGGAAGTTATAATTTTCCTATACTGAAAATGTATTACCTCCTCTCACACTTTCACCCTTCCTCCCCACTTCTCCTGTGTTCACACCTGCCAAACTTCGAAGTGAAGTTTTGGTAGAGGAGTGTAGAGCGATTCACATGAGCAAATCATGCTACTATTGGTTAAGAGATGACGCATTATGATTTACATGAGAGACATGTTGGAATATAGTAATTCAAACAGAGAGGGAGTGGAAGGCTTGTGGTGTGTGTAAAAAAAGTTTGCATATAGAGGGCAGCACTGAAGGAAAATAGCTAATCTTGTGAGATGATGTAAGTACCTATCGGAAATACATTTTCAGTATAGGAAAATTATGACTTATGGACTATGTGACTCCGACGTGTATATTAATTTACTGGAAAATGAGGCACCTTCCCTTCCCTTACAAATAATAAAGCCTTGAAACAGATCAACATAAGATAAAACAAATCTTATTTCTTTTTGTAACTATTTTATTATGCCTTCAACTATAAATTTGTATTGTTTCAGACTCAAATTGTGGTAAGCTCTTCATCCTGGAACTTCTACTAAACTTAGTATATCATTAAGTAAGGAAGATTACCAGGGATTTGAAAGGTCTGCATCCTAAAGGTTTTCTTTTTCTTTTTAACTCCTACTTCCAACTAAGATTAAATAAGTGCTGTAAGTGAAAGTAAAAAATCTTGTAGGACATATGTATATAATAATACTTTATATGTCCTTACAATCTTTATCTGATCAACTTTTTCCACTTTTTTGTACATGAAAGGAATTAACATTATGCAAAAAACGACTGACATTGATATATTTTGCAGTCTCTAAGAACAAGTTCTGGGTACCTGTTAATTATGTTTTACATCAGTTTTGTTATGGGTATGTCTAAATCTTGGTAGTTGGTTTAAACTATGAAACAAACATCCTCTTTTGCATGTCAGGTTGAACCCATCATATCTAGAATCATTGACAGTTTAATACTCATTAACTCATTAAACTTATTGGTTTGTCAACATTCTTTATGTTTTTTGAAAGAATATGGTTAAGGATGCATACAGCTAATAGTTTGTTACAAATCAACAAAAAAACATTTTTGAGAAGAAATCCTTACAGGAAATTCCAGCAGATGCTGGTTCTGCTGGGAATCAGGATTCTTCTGGTTCTAACTTGTCAAGTCATTTTTGGTGGTACTAAATGCCCTCCTCAATTCTGCTGTTTCTACCTAACCACCACAGTTGTGCCATATCTAGTTAGCAGTGTGATTCCTGGCCATCTGTTGTTTTTGTGATAGCCTGTTTACAAATCAATACGACTATTCTGCTGAATTGTGCTTGGATTGCATAAATCCAATATGAATAAATTTACAAGCATACTTTTAGTAACAGTTGTGTAGAATGCTAAGCAAATCATGTTTATAAGTATATTTCATAAGATTAATATTTTCATTAATAAGCGATACTAGTAGAAAGAGAACAGTTTTGTTTAGACTATATTTCTTCACTAAAATGAAATAAGGTAAGGTAAATGCCCATCTTTAGTTTTAATTCAAAACGTAGAGAGATGAACTTGATCCTTGGGTTTTCAAAGCAACCAATCACATTTCATTAGTGGATGGGAATAACAATTTTGATAATTTAAAATGAACTAGGTTTTGAAGAACTAAAATTAATTTATTTATGGTTCTTACAATTTTCTTTTTCATTTACATAACAGTTAAGAAAGAGAGAGAGTAAAAAGTGTTATTTTCACTTGCAGAAGTCAATTTTGCTTAAAGAATTTCCTCCGATATTTCAAAACTTTTATATCTATTAATTTTTCAGTGAGGTGTCTTCCTACTCCAGCTAGATGCTGATTTACCTTATCTGGAGATTTTGTTTTTATTTCTCCAACTACAGCTTGTAGTAATCTGTAGATAAAATAGAAGTAGCATAAAATAAGTGTTTAAAACTATGATGAAATTACATGTGTAATTTCATGATAAAAGATTGTCATTTTCACCATTGAACTTAGTTAGTCAAAAAATAGCATAAATGAAATTTTTTGTGCATTGTAAATTTAGGTTGTACAAAACAGGACCTCCTAATGAACATGCTGTTAAAATGTATTCATACAAGAAAAGCAATATAATAATCATTACTTTTCGTAAATGACACAGTAAGAAAAACTTTATAATTAGCCAAGTATGATTTCTTAAATATCATAATTAACTTTATTAATATATTTTTTAAGTATCAAAAGTACATAAAAATGACAAACAAGATAAAATCAATCCAAAAGGAAAATATGTATGTTACTCTTTTGGGAGTTATTGATTGTTTAGCTGCAGATTTTATAGAACTGCAAACTCTTCCTTCTACACTTCAATCTTTCAGTTTCTTGTACTTTCAGGTGGTTATGATCAGATCTCATATAAATAGAGAATCTTTTTGGTGCATCTTCATGGTGTTCAACTTCTCTTCATTTAATCACACATTATTATCGATATGAACTTGCATATAAATTTCTAAATGTAATTATTAGATTACAAACAGATAGTCACTTATTTATCTTATAATGTAACATTCTAATTCTAATCCTTTGTGAAAGTTTCATAATATGCCATTATATGGCTAGGATATTCTGTTGGTTCCAATACTTTACCAACTTAGCATATACAGTGTTCAAATATCAGGGCTGATGCAATACAGTATGTATCTAGATATTGATGCTGTGATATTATATGTATCTACATACAGAAATTTTACCATTTTACCAATGATTTGTTACAAAATTTGAAAGTCTTGACAATAAAAGTTAATTAGAAACAGGTGTATAATGTTAAAAGTTTTTAGTTATTTAGTCTAAATAAATGTTTGTTTGTTTGTTTGTTTTGAATTTATACACAAAGGGCTATCTGTGTTCTGCCCACCACGGGTATCGAAACCCGGTTTCTAGCATTGTAAGTCTGCAGACATACCGCTGTGCCACTGGGGGGCCTAAATAAATGTAGTTTCCTGTTACAATTTAAAGTAATTCTAGAAAGAAAAAAAAGAAAGATCATTTTAATTTAATTTGTATATTTTTTGGTGGTTACTGACTGACTTCACATAAAATTAGAGCAGTGAATATAGCAGACAAAATATAGAGATTTATTTAAATAATAGTTAGAAATTTATTTCAGAGGTTTTAGAGATTACGCAAAAGAAATTTGTTAATTTTTGAGATGGAGAAAAGTATTTTTAATCTTAACATGAAAATCGCTTTACACTCAGAGCAATGACTATTTTGACTCCATATATTAAAACATTAATTTTTGGCAAAAATACTTTATTAGAAATTCTGATTTTTCCTGTACAAAGACTTGTAACATTTACTTAAAGCTTGCCAAATTTCACGAAGATACCTAAATCATATGGTATCAGAAGGTATATCGATATAATCATATCATAGCTTCATGATATGATACACGTATTATATCACCACACCCCTATCAAATTATCATTGTACACTATTACAAAAGAAAGACAGCTAAATTTGATTTTTTTGTACAACTGAACTTTCCATCTTTCACTCTTTCCTTTGTTGGAAATTCAGATTCTTCTTAACTAACTGATGATGTGTTTATGATATAGGATGCCGTTGTGATCTTCATTTTATTCTGGTTCACCATAGCCAAACCTGTCAGAAATAAAATATTATAGTGCCTTATTTGTGAAATATAATACTTTTGATTTCTTTCAAACATCATATGTCAAACAGAAAGGTGGTTGCCTTTCAGCCCACCAAATTACCAATCATCTTAAATAACTGATTTGAAACTTACCCACTCAGTTCAACCTCCACTTTCAAATACTCTTTAAGTTCATAGAGAGATAACAGCTTCTACTAATGAAATAAAAGAAAAAAATTAAAGACAATATCATATGTTTGTTATAAATTATTTATTTTTTCTTTACTTGCAATATTGCAGCATAACTACCTAAAAAGGAATTATAGTTTCTAAGAATTAATGTTGACTTTTAGAAGTCAATTACCCTACTATTATTAACATTAAACTGCCTTAGAAGTGGGGTTTAAACTTTTTAAATCATGTATTAATCAACAGCAGCAACATTAATATGTTCTTTCCCTTTGAACACTACAAAAATTCACCATAAAATTTTACAACCTTACTATACAAAAATTAATTTTTATGTATAAAATTTCTAAATTTCTTGAACAAGAGATGTCGTAACAACAAAAACACTTTTTCCCATTTTAAGCACTGCTGCAGTAACTAAATTTTGTTTGTCAGTATATGAATATGCTGTTGAATAAACAGAAATGAAAGCCAAATCCTGCTATTTAAATTCAAATATCTGAGTTTGTGTTGTTAACTCCATACTACTTAGAATAAGAATTGATCTGAAACTTGTACTTTTTTATAAGTAATTTTGACACACTGCAGAAGAAACTCAGAAACAAAACATGGTAACACTTGCAAAGTGGTATTAAGACTACAAATAAACAAGTTTTGTTTCACTAAAAACTACCTAATAAAATGGATATTTTCTTTATCAATAAGCTCTTTTTTTGAAAAAAATAAACAAATCAATTTCTTGCACGTGAAAATTTAAAGTTTGGTCCAGAAAATTTGATAGACGAAAATTGTGGAAATGTTAGTATGGAACATAAAATATGTAAATGTTCAAATTGTTTGTAAACTTTTAAAAATTTAATTTCTTGTTTTTATTTAGCTACACTGAGAAAAAGAGCTCTTCAATATTACAATTCCTTATTATTTTGTATTATAGTTCCTTAAACTACTTGATTTTCATGTTAAATAACAATACATCACAGTATAAGCATCATTCATTTCATTATAACAAATAAATTGACAAGTTATTGTTTTCTTTTTGTACATATTTTAAACTGCTAACATTGTCGGTTAGTATCATTTTCAATATCTTACTGGAAAAATTAAGAACATTTCAAAAATCATACCAGAGGTTTGTCCAAAATGTCTTCCTGTAATTTCAAATTAAGTTTCCTGTAATCTTCCTTTTCTCTATGAATTCCAGTGGAGAGCTTAATTTTTAGTAACTTAATTTTTGCAGTCTTTTCTTTAAAGCTTTTTATTCTTAGGTTCAAGTTAAGCTTCTTTGGTACAACTTCATTGTACATATTTGGACAGGACTTGTACATATTTCCATTTCTCTCCAACTTCTGAATCGAAAAAGGTATAACTCCTTCAGTTTAACTTTCTTCTCCTTCAATATCTCCTTTAGTGTTTTGTTCCTTGTATTATGCACAAGTTTTTCTTCCTGTTTCTGTTAATTTATTAAAGTATCTGTAATTTCATCAGAATATCTAAATTCAACAATTTATATTTTAGTAATTGTTAAAGTATTGTTACGACAGCGGAAGTCACGTGACGCTAGTAACACGTCATAATATTCTCGAAGGTTCTTAAATGCTCGAGTGTTTACTAGATATGCAGTATTCTTGTATATAAGACTGCCAAGAAGTGACGGAAACAATGGAATTGAATTGCAAACAGAGATAGAGATGGGCAATTGAGTCAAGCGTGTGAATCGTTCGTTG